ACTGAATAGTACACTTTTAAATTATTAATGGCTGGTTTTCTTATGTGAATTTTACTTCAAAAAATATGTGAGAAAGACTGACTGGGATCTGGTGAGGCTTTATGAAGGCTGAAACACTAGATCCACCTTGAAGGAAGTAGAAAATTGGGATTTAAAACGCTTGAAACAAAAATTAGTGGAGGCAGCTCTAAAGAGAGTATTTTTCAAACTGTGACTGCAACTACATTAACAAGTAGATTTAGTGCAACCCAGTACACACGCATGTGACAGAAACAAATATTTGTGAAACAATATTTATTCTCCCCAAGTATAATGTACTCTGAGTTTTAAAAGTGTTATTATATTCTACTCTATTCTGTTTCCTTCCTTCCTTGCATTCTTCCTTTTGTCCTGTTGTTCATAATACATTACTGACCTCACAAAGTAACAAACTGTCACCTTGGGTATCAGGTTAGGGGTTTGGATGTGATGCAGGGTAAGTCCATGGAACTGACCACAAAGAACATCACCAGAAATCTGCAGGCAGAAGTTTGGATGAGGAACATCCTCCTCTTAGTGAATAAAGTGGCTGTTTTATGGTTCTGTTTGTCATTGAGCTAAATTTAAAGTGACTTATCTAATACCACATGATGAAGTCAACATGTGCACTGTGCATTACTCATCGTGTTTTTCTCTTTCAGTTGTTTATCATTTAAATCACTGATATATTTCCCAAAGAACAATTTTCCCTACATATTAATATGCAGGCTTATATTAATGTAGGTAATAATAAATCATCAAGGTATTACCCACACCTCTTTGAGAGATTTTCTGTTTTATTGTTGCGAAGTCAAATAATTTTTCTTCTTAAACAGTGCTCCACTAGAAATTAGATGGATTCCTGACAACAAACACTTCTAAGATGGTGGCAAGGTAGCATCATTAAAAAAATATTTCAAAAGATGGCTCCTCATTACCCATTAGAGACACTCAGACTCAGCTCTACCACCATCTGTGCAAAGTGATATAGAAAGGATTTTCAGCTTTGGCTGGAAATGTCCCTTCTAACTTTAATATCCTATCACTTTGACAAGATGCCTGAGATCCTCTCAGCTTGATACAAATCGAGCTTGTAAACTGTTGGGAAAAAAGTATACTGTATGACGAGAATTTAGTTGTGATCTTTCCCAAAGGTTTTCAATTAATTCACATCAAAATAACTTTAATATCATCAGTGATTCAAGTACTTGTATTTTAGGAAGTGTAATACTTGCATTCAGATGTAAAAGCATAGGTTGCCTATAAACTAGCTGTGCACAGAAATCAATCTACTGTACAGACTGGCTACCAGCAGCTGAGAAAGGGAGTAAACAATTTCCTTCTTAATTTCTAAGAAAGAAACAATGAATGTTATCTTGTGTTGGGATTTTAAACCCAAACAGCCTGTAATTTGCTATCTCGGGGAGGCGAGGGTTTTTCACTTGAAAATTTAAGTCAACAAGCAGGGTTCTGTAATTGGCATAAGGGTGGCATGGTAAAAAGATCAGATTTGGTTTTACAGACTTTCTGACCATCCTCTACCAGAGAGTATCCTATATGTTAACTATCAGTTTTTTTTTTAAAGAGGCTAAACATAGGCTTTATTTTTGTATCAAATTACACAAAATATTTCCTAAGCATCAGTTTTAACGAAAAATTTAAGTACATTTAACACAAGGTCTAGTGCAATAGCATTTTCCATGTAGTCATCTGATATAGTAACATATAAGGATTCTCAATACATAAATTCTGATGTGTTGAATGACAGCTCATTCTCTAGTACACACACACACACACACACACACAGTCTTGTTGATCTGAGGCATAAAGGAAATCATTTCTACAATAGACTTACAAGTCTAGAAGCAGACCCATACATATTTAGACACTTGATTTATGAAAATGTTAGGTCTTCAGAAAAGAGAAGAATGGGGGAGGTGATCTTTTCTAAAAATGTGCTAAGAACAGGACAACGGGCAAAATGGAGTCGCATATGCTAATCCTCACATCACGAAAGTGGAATTTAGCTACAGTTTCCACTCTGGCAGAAATGGAATCTTAAACCAGTGAATCATGAACTGCTTGACTGGCATTAGGCAATCTGCCTGCTAAACATCCTGCTACCTCCTATAAGATAAGTAACCTGGCAACAACCAACCAAACTTCTACCTAGCACAACTTCCCTATTCCTGCTCCCTTCTGCCTATAAAATCTCTAGCCTTGCAGATCTCTTTGGAGCTCCTTTCTATCTGCTACATAGGGTGATGCCCATCCATGGATCACTGAATAAAGCCAACAAGATCTTTAAATTTTAATCAGTTGAATTTTGTTCACTAACAAATGTTTCTGTGTCAACTGAATATTCATATGGGGAAAATGCACACACACATATATATATATTCTAATTAGACTGTAGATCTAAATGTGAAGGGTAAATACAACAAATATTTCAGGAAACAGAGAAATATTATTATGACCTCGGTGTGAAGAATTATTTCTTAAGTAGGAATCCCAAAGCAATATCTAAAGGAAAAAAAAATTCATCAAAAATATCCAACAAGAGAATGAAAAACCTTGGAAGACTAGCAGATATCAGTAACATGGATATCTGCAAAGGAGTAATATCCAAAATCGATATAGAATTCCTACAAATCACAAAAAAAGGCAGGCATCCAAGAGAAAACTAAACAAGAGACAAACAAGCACTACATAAGAGTCTATCCAAATGACCAATAAATAAAAAAGTGCTCAACTTCATAAGGAATCAGACAAGTACAAATTAAAACTAAAAAGAGTTGTGCCACACCCACTGATCAAAAGTAACTAAAAGTTAAAAGACTAATAAGATGTGGTGCAAAAGAACATAAAATGCTAGTGGAAACTTAAATGGGTATAATCACTGACAGCATCTACAACAGCTGAACAGATAAAAACCATATAATCTAACAATTGTATTAAGAGACATGGACAAAAATAGTCACAGCAAATTATTCTTAATAATCCCAAATAGACCAAATCTCTGTCAAGAGTAAATGTGTATAAGTGATGTCATGCAGTGGAGTATTAGAGAGCACTGAACATGTACAAACTACCTCTATACACACGAACAAATCTCAGAAATATCACACTGAGCTGAAAAAGTCAATCACAAAAGAATGGACACTGGACATTATCATTGTTAAAAAGTTCAAATGCAAACAAAATCTAACCACAGCAAGATCAGCCAGCATTGAGGGACAGAGAAAGGGCAGTGTCCAGTAGGGCCATAGGAGGATTGCCACATAGGCCACAAGATGGTCAATTAAATTTACATTTCAGATAAACACCAAGTAATCTTTTAGTAATAAGTAAATCCCAAGCAATATCTGGAGCATGTGTTTTTATTTGCTACTTTTGGCACTCCTAATCAGTAGAGGTTGTTTTTGCTTTTGAAGCACTGGTAATAACTGCTGATGTTCATCCTGGGATCATACGTCTGCATTTTTCTGTGTGTGTGTGTTTTACTTCACAATTTAAAAAAAAAAAAAGGTAAAAGTATACTCAGTACAGCCTTGCAGATTTTAAAATATCTCATCCAAACACTGTTTCCATCCCACTCTTAATCACTGCGATGTGAGAGCTGTGCCAATTCTGCAGGAGGTGGGCACTGATAATCTGCAGTGTTGTTGTGCCCAAAGCTGCTTCCCAGGCTCCACTTTCAAATTTTTTAATTAAAATTACTTTTACACAGCATGCATCTTTACTTCTGAAATCTTTTTTTATATCCTGCCTCGTGATCCTTTAAAAAAATTTTTTTTTAATTTTGTATTTGTGTGGCTGGCTTAATCTTACCAAAGGGCAATGCCAGATTGGAAGTCCAGGGTCTACCCATCAGCAAGAAACACACTGACCAGCGTTCAATAAGGAGTTGGACTGCCCAGCCATTGTGGGCATCAGGATCCAGTGGCATGAAGCTACCAAGAAAACTGGTACTTTAGGGCTAACAAGTAGAATACAGACACTTCAGGATACATAAAGTTGAATGCCTCTATCTGCATCCTGATTTCTAAACTTATCAGAAGTTGACACAAACAACTTGGAGGGGGGCCATGTACTTCCCTCTGGTGGGTGTACTTACATTCTTCCTGCAGACACAAACGGCAAACGCAAGGAAAGAGAGGTGTCCGGGGCGAACAAAAACCTGAATCATTTTTCTGCTGTTGTTTAAAGAAGGTTCTATTTGTATTTGTTTGGCAAAAGTTCTTTCATGCCCAGGGTTTTTTGTGTTGTCTTGTTCTGTACCTTCATCTCTTTTAGAAACAAACCCCTCCCGATTCTAAATAAAGAAAAAATGTGTCCACGTATTGGTGGGTTCTTCTCTCCATACAGTCTGGCACCAAACTTGACAGGCGAGTGGAACCCTTACCTACCTGCCTGCTACTTAGGGTCAGCGTGGTTTCTCTGCGTCAGTAACAGAAACTTTGTCTCTCACACAGAGTATTAATTAGGCTCCTGGAGTGGGGAGACATGTTGCCTGGAAGAAACTCAACTTTGCCACTAAGCTTGTGTATCTCTGGCTAGTGACTCACTCCTCTGCTGTGCCTCAGTTTCCCCAACCATAAACTGGGAATTAAAACTACCCAATTCGATTAGCGGTTGGGCATCAAATGCTGTGGAAGGCGATTAAATAAAGCGCAGCACCTGGCACAGCTTACACTCTCCTGGTGATTGTTATCACTACGATTGGCTACCTAGGAAGGCCTTGCCACCTACAAGGAGTAGGTATCTAGGGAAGGAGAAGCATCCAGATGCACTTGGCAAGATAGGGAAGTGATAGAGAGCAAGAGTTCCACCAGCCTCTGAAGTTCGGTTCAAGTTGCGCTCAACTCACAGAAGGTGAGACAGTGCAGGAGGCGGGGTCCAGGAAGGTGGACACAGCAGGACCATGCCTGGACCCCGGACAAAAGCCAGGACCTCTGACCTCGGGCACCCACACTACTCACGTTGCGGTTGAAACTGTTGCCAGGCAGCAACGGCAGGGTCATGGCTTTGAGCCTCGGAGGGTCAAGGGTCCAGCAAGAGAGGGGCCAGCAGGCAGCGGACGCCCTGCGGCAGGGCTGTTTTAAAGCCCCGACGTTACCTAGAGACCAGAGGCAGCGTCACGTAGGGAGGAGGGGCAGGGGCGGGCCTGGGGCTCGCGGCGGGGGCGCGCGGGGCGCCCCGTGCACCCCCCCCCCCGCTCCTGCTCGCAGCTCAACCGGGTGGGTCTCAGCCCAAGTCTCCAGAGTCTTTTCTCACAACGCTCATTGTGCACACAAAGAAAGGCAGGCACACCGTTCCCCGCCCCCACTGCTTTCTGTTTTAACCCTTTACGGAACGCAAAGCCTTGCATGTACTTAAGCTCCTCCGATTCTTGCTATTTGGTTTTCCAATTTAATTCAAACACACAGCCAAGTGCAAAAAATAACATGACAGCCGTGGGCTCACAGAAATATAACACAAGTTAACCTTTCCCTAATGTTATATTTGCATCGGCTTTTATTTTGTAATTAAAACGTTCAAAATGAATCTGCAGCCACATTACCCCAGACCCACCCCCATGAATCCCCACTCTGTGGTAACCGTCAGCTTCAGTCCTTCCTCTGAACACTTTTTTATATTTAAACTAAACGATTGTAAGGTGCTGGGTCCTGGTGCTGGGGAGATCTGGGGAGGGGCGCAAACGCAGTCGTGGCAAGGCGCTGCAGCACCAGCAAGCTGCCCTAGCCAAGAAACCCCTCACCCTACAGCTACAGCAATTCCCTCCCCGGTGGCCCGGCAGGTACATCTGCCAGCACCTCCTCTGTCTCAGTTGAAGACCCATTATCGCGACTGGGTTTCTTTAAAAAACAAAACAAAACAAAACAACAAAAACAAATCTTGCCTCCAGAGCCAAGCTCTCCTACCTCAGTGATGGACCCTGTTACCCTTGTGCTTCAATAATCCAGCTTGCCCATCTCCCTCAGACTCAGGTAAACCCCTTCACCTGGCAAGCGTCTTGAGCAAGAGGCGCCTACCAAAAGCCTGCAGCCCTTCCTTTGGCCCATTCCTCTATGCCACCACTGGGAATCCCCTGGACCTGGAAGTTTGCAAACCAGGCTTTTCTCAACCTTTGGAAATTTTGCTAAGATAATGCTATCTGCTAAAAACACCCTTCTGTCCTACCTTTCATTTGGGTAAGCTCGACTGGTCTTAGAGGTGTTGGTTCAGTATAGGAGAGAGGAAGGCTTTGTCATTTCTGGAAAATATCCCTTCACCTTCTCTCCCATCTCTCCCCAGTCTGTATGAGTTGTCCATTCCAATGCCGGCTTTGATGGTTCTTGTTGTAATCAATCAATTACTTGAATCTTTTTTAGATGCCCACATATTGCTCCAGGGCAGAGATTTGGTTTCCTTTCTAAATTCATAAACACCAAATATCATGGTTGTCTGTGTTTATAAAGTCTCTACTATAAATTTCTTTCACCTGCTTTTTTCATCGAAGATTTTGCTTTAGAGATTCCTAATTGTGAACACATGTTGATACATTCCATTCATTTGATGCATTGTATGATTATACCACTCATTACTCCTTCATTGTCATCTGTTAATGTCATCTATTGATGACAATAATGTTACCAATTTTTCTTTAGTCATCAACAATGTTCATGAACAACCTTCTCCTGCTCCTTGGAATTATTTCATATAGGAGTTCATGCCATCAACTAGGTCTTTCTAAACAATCTCTAGAATTGTTGAACCAGTTAAAAAAATGTCCCTCTGCACCCTCCCTAGTGGCGCAACAGGTTGGGACGCAGCACTACAAGCTAGCCACAGCCACTTCAGTGTGACTTCTATCCCCACCCCAGAGGTGATAAGCAAGGGCAAGGCACAGCAGACCTCTCCTGTCTCACCTGCTGCTCCCCTCAGCAGGGTACTTCATGGATCTGCCTGTTTTGCTTCCCACTCTGTCTCTGGTGAATCCTCTCTCTCTCTCTCTCTCTCTCTCTC